TACAGTACAGAGCCCGCACAGGGTAGCTGTAAACTGACTTAATGTTTTAAAAAACCCACCAAAACACAAACGAGCCCTCCCCTAATAAATATAACAAAGCTTGTCTTCTGCATACACAAATTTGGAAGCTCTGAACAGCTACAACATAAATAGAGCAGGTAAACTTTCTGTTCTGCAGAGCAACAAAGGACTCTCAGTTTTCACCTGTCCCTGTGAACCCCAACCTTACCCTTTGTGAGCTTGCTTCCTGGCTCTTTCCTCTGCAAATTTCCATCAACTTCAGTGGGAACAAACAGAAGTAGTGTGCCAGCACTCTCAGACTTCCCAAGGCATGCAATGCTATAAAATTTCCACTCCCTTCTTTTCCCTCATCAACTCAAAAAGAGCTCACAAGAAGTTCTCTTACTAAGACTTAATGTCAATAAAAGCACAGATGTAGCTGACAATCCCTTGTTCCTTCTGCTGTGGAAAGGTATGTGCTATAAATAAATTTGTATGTCAGTGAGGACAGTAGCATACTGTGATGTATCATGAATTTGGAAAGCAATTTGGCTTCTAAAAACAGAAAAAGATAGGCAGACAGCACTGTCACCTCCTATGTTGCCTATGCACTTCAGATACATAGAAGAAAATATATTGGACTGAACAAAATAAATAAAATAAGCATGAGCTTACATATATCAGAGTTTAAGAGGAAAAGTATTAAATGTAATTTATTATATGCATAATGTTCCATCATGTTGTAAATATTGCCATAATAGTGTATTGCTGTAGTTTGTTCTTGGCTGGTGATAGAGTTCTGTGGTAGTGCTGTGCAAGTTGGGTTTTGGGTTTTTTTTTTCTCAAAGTATAGTTAGCAAAGGTAGCAGAGAGCACCTAATACTCTGGCTTCTGAGTTGTTCTGGAGTAAGATGCAGCTTTTTTTTCTTTCTTTCTTACATGATAATATTTCTTAAACAAGATAAGAGAGATGAGATCAAGGCTAAGCTGCCACTACCACTGTATGAAAAACACCATGTCTGCAACTGCCAACAAGAGGTAGTGCATTTTTGGACCATAATTCGGATTACCCGAAGGGATGAGAAGGGATACAAAATTCCACAACCTGGTGACAGCAGCTTTCTAGTGCCATCTAGTATGTCCTTTGCTCACAAACAGAAAGATGAGTTAGGAGAGTTGTTATACCTTATCTCAGGCCTTACCAGCTTCGCAGCATCCTGCTTAAATAGCAAAATCAAGAATTCAACTTTGAACCACAGAAGACAATACAAAAACATCAAGCATCTTGGCTAGATCAACTTTGTAAGGGAGATTACAGTATCAGATCAACCATGTAGCAAATGTAAAGGGCACTTGTCACTGAAAATTACCAGGCAAAGATGGAGTCTTTTTTTTTGGTTGTTTTTTAATAAAAAAGTGAGCTGCTTCTAGTTTTTACTGACAACATTTCTGGTGATTCCTCTGCCCAGCTCTACTGAATGCTGCACACACACAGCCAGGTGGAGCAGCAGCCTGAAGCACAAATTTGCCATAAATCAGATGCACTTGATCTTCTGAGGTGCAGGAGCCCATATACAAACCTCAGAGACTGAATGTGTAGGGCTCCTGCATCTTTGCACAATACAGGAGACAGACTTGTGTTCCACTGACAGAGACACTCAGCAGCATTTTTCCTTTCTGTTAAATGACCTTTTTGTTACATTTGTTATTGCAAACAGTTCCAAGCAGAATTAATTACAAAATTATTTTTTATGCTAATTGAAGGGTTTCTAACATATTCTTATGAAGCAGTAGGTAGAAATATTCCCAGATCCTGATTGCATTCCATCATCCTCCACCTCCCTTAAATGTTGTCAATAAAAACACTAACCTTTCCAGGTAGCATGGTGAGAAGACATTATGTGATGAATATTAAAAATAAATGCATGAGGTAAACCTGCTGTTATTTCTGATTGTCATATGAAGCATGAATAACACTAATTTAAATGTTGGCAACCAAAAAAGTGCAAAGGAATAAGATAATGGTGTTCACTTCTGGTTAAATGAAAGACAAGAAGTTGTTTCTGTGTTTTCTTCTTAACTACAACACTTTTTTTTGTTACTGTCATTTCCCATAGCTTATCTTAATTTGGAGCTGGTGAAATATACATCTCTGCTATATGTGTCTATCGCCAGATCAAAAGGAAAATACAAACTTTTTATAATTTTGTACCTGTAGCAAATGTTTGTATTTTTTGAATTAGAAACAAACTGCTTTTTGTCTTTTGGTCCAACTAAAACTTTGAGTATTATTATTATTCCCCTTTTGGAAAACCTGATGTATAAGTTTATGCTGTTTTACAGTTTCTAAATAAATTCTTATAACATTGCCAACAAATTCAGCATTAGTACTGTATTTATTATTCCTGATTATTATAAAAAATATTATGTCATAATGTAAATGAGGCACTCATGCAGAACGCATGCCTAACTCTAACTGTCCATACCTGCTTTGTTACCACAATCAAGAATAATCCAGTAGCTGGAGAAACCCAAGAGTCCTCCCTCAGAGCAACCACCTGTGCCTTAACTTCAGACATACCCTGGATTCAGTGGCATGAAACACCTCTCTTTCCCAGTACCACTCCATTAGCTCTGGCTCACATTGGTTATAGGGGATCTATTATTTAGTTGCGTCCCACCTAAGACACTTTGGGTGATTTCCCAGACTCCAGAAATTTCTGACACTGGAGTAAGCAGAGCCTGAAAGAACTGTGACACCACTAGGATCCGACTGGAAAGCCCTTTGGGTAAAAGTCAAAATGGGCAGAAAGCCTGTCAAAGCAGGGGAGACAAAAACTTTGTGAGATGGTTTAAAATGACCTGTCATCTTGGAGCTGCACCCCTCTATCAAGCTGACGGCTCGTGAGAGACTGAGCAATGCTACAGAGGCAGCACACAGCCCCTGCAAAAAAACAGTCATTGAGGCCACACAACCTTTACAGATGTCTGCTAAAAAAGCAGAATAAAACATGGTGATAACAGTGACAGCAGTACCAGGGTAAGAAACAGGAACCCAGTCAAAAAACAATCAGGAGTAACTATAGATGACAGTGTGGAGACACCATCTATCACACCTTTTCTTTTTTTCTCCCACAAGAGACAACCACCTGGCATCAACACCTTTATGGAAAGGGGTTTGACTGGGAGAAAAGATAATCACAATGGCTTTAGCATATAGGGAAACAGGGAATAAGGATAACGGTTGTAGGAAAAGGCATGCAAGAGAAAGTAGATAAGGAAAAATCCTTCTGTTCTTCCTTTGTACTTCATTCCTGTATGCAACTGCAAGTAGAGGGCAAAATAAGATGGGCCCTGCTCCCCCTTTCCCATAATCAGTTATTCAGTCAACATTGGCATTAGTGTATAAGCATGTGCTTAGAAACCAACAGAGCTTACTGCCTGAACATAAACTTACATACTCTGCTAACTACCAGCACATGCCAGCCCAGGAAAACGCTGGTGCATAACAGGCTCTAAACAGTTTTATTTGCCAGATGTGATTGATGCATCTAGTAACAAAACAGGACTAGAAGTACCATGCTTACCTGACAACAGCATCCTACAAGAATGTAGCATGGCCAGCTCAAATCACCTTGGAGACTTGATATAAATAAGTAACCTATCGCCATGTAACAAAGCTTTCATAATGCATACACACCAACACCATAAACGAGTGTGAAGATGCAACACTTTGAATAAACTTTTTGTTTTCTTCCCTCAAAAACCTTAATGTTCCACTACCTACTCAGCATTTCAGTTTTCAGCCTTTTAAGAACAGATTTTTTTCATCTCTTTTTTACAGAGCTTACAAGCTTGAGACCAGGACTGTAAAATTAGACACCCCATTCTGACCAAGTTTCACTCCCAAACAGCTTTTGGGAGCTGTAGAGGTGGAAAGTAAACCCTTTAACTTACCTAAGCTGACTGAGAACATAAAGTCCCACAACACATACGCAAACAGCTGAACAAAACTTCATCAAGAAGTGAGCAGTGAAAACTAAGCTCAAGGATTAAAAAGGAATTAAAAAATACAGGTTATCCCACAACATCGAAGGCCCATCTGTTGCCTCAACAAGTCTTGATGCTCTGTACTCAATTCTTCTTAGTGACTACACCTTCACACGCCACGGTGATTTGACATTTCTATAATGTGAAATAAGACATTAAGTCTGTAACCTGATATGATTGTTAATTCCAGTTTGAATCTGCAAGCAATACTGAATAACAAGAAATCAAATTATGCAATTATGAAATGTGATAACAGCATTTAGCAACCCAACTCTGCACAACCCTCCTCTTCCCACACGGCTTCAGAAACACTCCCTTCCACTTTTTACCTGCCTCTTGATCCTACAGGCTCTCTCCCTCCTTTTAGTCCTCTCTGTGGTGGCAGAGCACTTTTCCAGGACCTTCAGTAAGGTGGAAGATGTGAAGGAAGGAGCATGCCAGAAAGCATCCCTTTCTGTGGTGTGGCCTTCCCTACCCCAGAACACTTTCCCATCCTGTGACAGGGACAGCCTCTGATGCTGCTGTTCTGTTTGCTGGCTGCAAGCTGACACAGACCCCACTGCTCACTCAGGGTTAGAGATCACCTAGCTCAGGCTCCCAGCCCACAGGGGTACTGGTACACCCAGAAGTTTCTTTCAGTTTGGAAGGTCACTAACCATTGCCAGTTCTAAAGGATACACCACCTTAAAAACAAAAATACCCTAAAAAATATTTAGCTACAGAAGACAAAAACTGTTCTTCCAGAAACACCAAACTGCTGAAATCCAAATAGCATCAAAACTTCAGTTTCGACAAAGATTTCATAGAAAAGCCTTAGAGGCACAGGGACACTCAACAAAACAAACACGAGTTATTAGGAACAACCAGCAGCTATAGAGTGTCTATGCCTCTTTTGGCTTAGTCTTACATGGTTTTGTTTTTAAAAACAAACCATCCAAGCCACCAAAACACTATTTGAAACTGTTTATTTGGAGATCTCTGCAGATGTTGAGTGTGTAACTCCTACTGTGACAAAACTTCAGAAAAATATTATTTTCATTCCAAAGCAGGTAATTTTGAAATCTTGAGGTTTTGCTGGACAAGAAAACTCTTGTGCAGTTCCACCATTAGTTAATGGATTAAATGAATATTTTACTTACAGCCAATAAGCTGATTCTAGAAAGTGAAATGTTTGTTTTGACATGTATTGACTAATAAAAATAGACTGTGTGACCTTCTTAATAAAAACTCTCATTTTTATTTATAAAATGGTAAATTCTCATATTCTTCCCAGGGCAGAATGGAACATAGAAAATGCTGCAACAACAAAATTTAAAAAATTAGGGCATGGTGGGAAAACGAGAGGCTCTGTAAGTCTGTGTTGGTAGCAACATGAATTCTATCTTATGCATATTGTCCATTTCACTCTATCATTAAGTTCATTTCCTAACTTTGGATGATTTGATTTTCTTTATGTCATGGCTTTGCAGAATCAAGGTCCCATCTCTGAATTTTCCAACTTGTCCTGCATGCCAAATGCTAGGCACTGATTTCTTCCTTTTGGCCTTCCTGAAATAAGAAGAGGAAAAACAATAATTAAGAGAAAAGCAGAAAAACATGAAAATGCTTAATATGGTGAAAAATGTCACCTATTTATGCAGGCAGTGTTTGGTATTAAGGAGTATCAGATCATAGCAAGTAATGATCCCAGAACATTTTACCTTCGTAGACATTCAAAATTTGCAGCATATTACAGCATGGATTTACATTTCTAAATGTTTAGAAATATAAAGATCTTTGGATAGAGAAGGAACATTAAGAGCACAGAGTGAACCTGTTACACTACAATTAAGAATGTCAGCTCACTTTCAAACCCCTGTATACTGTAGCTTGTATTTTGCAGAAATTATTTCTGAGGGCAAATGCTCTGAGTAAGTGCTGCATCGGCACACAGGGATTTTCATCCATCTCACCTCCAGCTGCAGTCTTAGACATGTTGGGACAGAACTGACATATTTTCAGTTAAGCTGTGTAACTAAAGCCTCTGAAACTGCTAGACAAAGAGCAATGTCACCATTTTTTGAGGAGTTCTGGATTTGGAGAAGTTCATTCCACTATGATGTGCATGACTTCTGGTACAGTTACATAGGGGATATGCACTGGGGAGACTATACAAAAGCAAGTTAATTTCAACTCCTTAAAAACAGCTCACCTCTCCTTCTGTTCTTTCTTCTTCTTCTTAAGAGAATCACCCTTATGTTCCTGTTTTTAAAGATACATATTTTAATGAACAAATAACAAACAGAACATGTTCATTAAACAACCACCTGCACATAAAACACGCTGTAGCCTTTGCTTCACAGAGCAGCAGGCACTTAAAGCCAGCTGGGAGACCTGACAGAACAAATGATGCAATGCATTGTGGAGTCACTACTAGGAGTGCCAAGAGCCTTTCCTGTCACCTTACAGCCCACTCATGCCCAACAAGCTGTCCTTGCCACGTGAGGAAGCAGAGGCTTGCTCCTTGGGCATATGACAGATCCTAGGGTCAAAAGATGGACTTGCCACCAGGTAGGTGTGCCCTGTCCCCCAACTGAGTGTATCTGTCAAATAACAGGGTTCAACATGCCTGGTCATGCAGTGGATGTGCTTCGAGCCACATGACAGAGGAGGAGAAGTAGGTCCCTGGAAAAGAGGGTGGCAGGAAAGCAGCTGCCAGAGCAATTACCCATGCCACAGCCTGCTCCCACCTACATGAGAAGGCTGGGAGTAGGCTCAGAGCCAGATGGGCTGTGCTAGAGGATGGATGCAACAGAAACCTCACCCTTGCTTTAAATAATGAGCAAGATCCTAGATGGAATTGTGCTGATATAAAAGTAGTTGAAGATCCGGCTCTCTGTGGTTAGACAACATGCAACAAACTTTAATTGAGGGCCATTTTTTTTATCTTAAAAGGATAAAAAAAACCAAACGCTGCTGATGTTGTGTCATCAGTCTATAAGCTTCAAAGGATGAGGCAATGAAACCCACCACAACACAAGATTAACTCTGTGCCCTTCATACTGCACACAACTAGCTTTCACCAATAAGGTTAGTACTGTGGGAGCCAGGAACCCAATCCATGGGGAGCAGCAGGTGTCAATCTCGGGCAGTCCTCCTGAGCCTGAGGCATTATATGTCAGGCTCTTGGGCTAGTTCTTACATGCTGCCTTTTTATACACAAAATTTCACACAAACCTTTTCCTTATCAGCATCTTTCACTGCTTTTTTCTCTTTCATTTTCTCTTGGTAAGTCCTGTAGTTCACATGTTCCTTTTTGGGGGGCTGCAACAAAGATTGGGAGGGATACCACTGATTAAATTTTAAAATAGGTTCAAAAATTATTGACACATTTGCATGGACAGTATTTTTCAGGTAGTAAAGGTGAAACATTAGAAATGCTTATTTCCTTTTGGGTGAGAGAAAGGGACTTAGAGGATGTAAGGTAGACACCTAGAAACCCCATTTTTCTTGGTGAAGACAGTAGAGAAAAACGATAATGCTCTGTATCAGTCCTACAAAGTTTCCACGTACATACCTCCCCCACTCCATAAAAAAATCTAAAAAATAATTTTTCTTTTATACTAGTGATGATAAAATGAAAAGTCCTCTCCATCTTTAACTCACTGAGAGAGTGAAGCTTTAAAAAGCAAGCCTCTCTCTCCAACAATTTAGTTTTGAATGGCTTGATTAAAAATTAGTACATGTTGTTTTTCAGCCTAACCAGTCACTACTTCTCCGATAACACAACTATACTAGTTTTCCATTAATCTTCAGAAAATAAACAAGACAGAATAGAAGATGTAAAAGTAAGGATGAAGTGGGAGAAGGGTCAGGGTAGGGGACCTTGTGTTTTAAAAAAGTAGTACCAAAGCCCCACATGTTCTTTACCACATTCATGCACTGTAATAGTGGGTGACCTCTCAGCACAAACCAAGTGACAATTACCTTGGCTCCCAGCATGATAGCACGCTCCTGTTCCCATATGCGTTGTTCATGCTTCTTGTAGCCAGTGATTCCAAACTTGTGCACTTCCAGACGAGCCTAGCACAGAAAATTGCAAGCGTTTCATAATTTGTCCAACCTGTTGTACAGTAATGCTTGGCACACCACAACAAAGTCATACTCCCAAAGAAATCCTGGCTAATGCTGGAAATCAGCACACTATAAAATAAACTAGCTGAGTTTGGAGCTATACCGCCGAACAGTTAACCACTGTCCAACTAATCTCTAGACAGTGAGGACTGCCAGGGGGACAATATTCAATTCTCCTCATTTCACATAAAACAACACACAGAATGGATCTCCTCCATATAAAAAAAAAAGAGAACCAGTGAGAAACATGAATGGGCAGATGGTGAAGCGGTTTGACTACACATATACATATAGTTAACACTATACAAGAATACTCCAGCAAAACCAGTGCTGAATTCATAATCTTTTTAACATCAGTGATTAAATCCTCACTCTTCTTAGCAGTACAGAGCTCCATGCAGAATCTCCAGTGAGATATTTCACAGGATCATAGCACATCCCCGAGCAAAGATTAGGTACATGAACAACTTGCACACATCTGTATATGAATTAGTATCTAAGGTGGCCAATGCTAGTTATGCTCATATAAGAACAGAAGAGAATAAAAAGACAAATGGAAAAAAGCCATCTATTGTTTCAATAGATGCCAATACACCTTTTTTTCCCTCCCCCATGAGATCAGAAATCCAACATTTAACACCATGGGCCTGAAAGAGCTATGCTAAACATTATGGGTACTCCAGTAGTTTTACACAAGTAACATACAGTGTTCCTTCTCAAATTTGCATTGAAAGACCAGAAGAAAGGCTACAGAATTGTAATAAGCCTCTCTTCACACAGAGCAGTTGATTACAGTCAGCATGTTCCTCCTTTGGCATGGCATGCAGACAGAATTACCTATTAGGAAAGCCTCACCGATAAGAGATACCCATTTCTGGAAGTGTTTCCCATTGGTCCCACCATAGCTTTCCCAAGGATATAAATACACACACCTGCACACTAAAACAAAGAGATTGGACAGGTGCTGCAGACTTACTTTTTCAAAGTTAAATTCTTGTTTGTTCACATTTGTCTCTTCGTTCGCTATTTGGGTCTATAAACAAAATAAAACATTTCAAATTAATATAACAAATAAAACCAATCTAAATGTTGATCGTAATAGTTTTTTTGAAAAGCAGTGAAATGTAAACTGAGTTGTAGGTACAGCTTTCCAGCAGTACCTTTTCCTAGCTTTATTACCTTGATCTATTAAAAGAGAGAGTCTCAATGGCATTTTTAATGTGTAGATATTATAGTGTCTTACTGGAACGATCTTGCACATTTTATAGGGTACCATTACAGTGCATATAGCTTTGTCCTGCACTTCCTTGCCTAGATCATCTATCTGCTAACGTTTACAAAGAGTTTCATAATTCAGAAACTTATTAATAGCTGCAATTAATTTATACACTTTCAAGAATAATTACATCTTATAAGAGAAAAGTCATTTTGTTTGAGCCAGGCAGCGCAGTGGTAATAGGTACCGACAGCTGGGGCAACACGCAGAACAAGCTTAATTCCCAAATGCATGTATATATACTAGTGCCCATATCCAGCTCCACTAATGCAAGACAAACTGCTCCAAAGGGTGCACTGTCAGCAAATGGCAGAACCCACTTAGTGGTGTTTAAAGAAAGTACTCGCTCAAAAGGAGCTCAATGAAAACCACATCTTTTCTAGTCCATGATTTACACAGAGACCTTCCCTCAGCAGTTCTCAGTTTGGAGGGGAACTCTCCAGGGGGAACAGGCTGTATCCTAGGAAGAAAAAGAAGCGTAAAATCCCAAGGAAAAGAGCTCCATGCTTGCTTGTTACAGGAGTGTCCCACACAGGACACTCTGGAGCACTAATAAATCTCCCAGGGTTATTTTAGACTGTGTCTGCTTCCTGATCTAAGGGAGGATATGCCAAACCACCTCTCTGAGTGGAAGCTCTGACCGCTCCCAGGCCCACTGATGTGGGCAGGCAGCACGAGCAGGGAAACTGCCATCTGCTCAAGAGCATCATCTGCTCATCTTTCCGCATTTGCTCTCAAGGCTACCATCCCCCCTAAGGATGCAGGAATACTACATAAGTATTAAAGCTTTTCCTTTTCACTCTCCAGGACCTTAAGCCACACTGAGTCATGGGTTCAGGCCTGAGGGTTACACCAGGGCTTCCCTCTGCATCCACTGCAGCCAAACTTCTCTCAGCTCTGCAAAAGTTTCTATATAAAAATGTCCTTCTCAATCACAAATAAAGCCGGTTATCTTCAGAGCATTTTGCTAACAAGCCTAACAGCAGTCTTCTCAGGTATAAAAATTTAAGCTGTAAAAAGCATAAGAAAATAAATACTTAGGGCAATTTTTAGAGGAAAACACGCTGGAAAAAGCACAAAAGTTTATGGATTCAGCCAACTGCTTGGTCAGTCTCTTGAACCTCCCAGTTCCAAGCAGTTCAACCCTAGATATCAGTAAGTCTCCCTGAATTCAAGACAGCCATATGTTGGCCCATCAGAGTTTATTTTAGAGTTGGGCTTCTGATGTTATGGTCATAAAGGCAACTCAAGGAAAACAACCAGAGAAGCAATAAAATCTGGAGACCAATGAACCAGCAAGGGATCCCTCTGCTCAGCTTCCAGCCAAGCCTATCCAGGCCTTCCCACTGAAGCAACTCAGTTATAGTTTTTGGTAGTGTGAGGTAATTTAGCACCAACAAACCAAACCAGAAGACTGAGATCTAATGCTGTCATGCCTTCCCCCATCAACTACCCAATACTGATCCTTGAAGACACATGTTTCTTGTCAACAGCCCAGTGTTGCTGTGATGCCAGAGAAGAGAAGAAAGATTTGGCACCTCACATCCACACCTATTGACAGGAACAGAGCAGCAAACAAAACACTCGGGCACTGAAGTAACCAAGAGGCTTTGCTTTCCATTTCATTCCCTTCCTGACGTATTGTCAGTCCTGTCTGCAGATCAATTTATTTTGCTGGAATATGCCTATTTCAAATATAGGATACTTAACCAGAGATCTTCTGAAACCGGAAAAGAGTAGTTTTCAAGTCCTAACCCCACCTCTGCTTCATCCAGCAGTCCCGCAGGATGAAGCAGGACTGGATGCCATCGAGCTGAGCACGCGGATCGCCAAAAGATCCCGGATTTCCAGGCAGCTGTATCAGCAAGCGGGACAAACCCAGGCACGGGAGGGGGCCGATGCCGTGCCCAGGGAGCGCACCTCCCTGTGGGAGGGCGCAGTGGAGTCCCCCTACCCTCCCGGCCCTACCTGGGCTCCTCCGGCCGGCGCTGCCGCGGGGCTGTGCCGCTCCTTCCTCTCACCTCCTGAACACAAACGAACCCTCCACCGCCGCGCGCGCCGGGGCGGCGGGGCAGCGCCCGGCGCGGCGCTCATCGGCCCGCGCTCCCCGAAGAATCGCGGACCCCGCAGCCGCCCACCGCCGCCGCTGCAGACCCCGGCGTCTCCTCCTGCTCTCCATATCCTCCATCTGCCGCCCGCCCCTGCGCTCCCTTCTCGACCGTCTGCGCAGCGCTGAGGCGCGCCGGGCTCCTCGCCTGACGAAGGCGCGCACAATGCACCGCGTCCAGCCCCGCCGCGCCGCCGCTCCGCCCCGCTCCGAAGCCGAACACGACCCGGCCCCCTCCCTTCCCCGGGCCCCCAGCAGACCCGTGCGGCCCAGCGCCCGGCCCGCCCAACGCGCACCCACCAGAGTCTCGTAGAAGGGCTCCAGACACCGCCTCCAGCAGCGGCGGGCTCCCGCGGCCCACATGGCTGCTCGGCAGCGGGCGCATCGGCGTTGTGATACCCACGGCGGCTCCCGTCGGCCCAGATGGCACCGCCCATGGCGCCGGTGCCCCGCCCTCACGCCCGACCGCACACGCCTTGACAGCCGGGTCGGACGGACTCGGAGGATGAAGCGCGCCGCGGAGAGGCTGCGGCGGGCGGAAGAAGGCACCGCGCGGAGCGAATAGGCAGGCATCGCGCGGGCGCGCGGTGAGCTCGCAGCGACAATTGGCGAACAGCAAGGCGCGCGCGCCCGAGGCGAAAGCCGGCGCGGCACGAGGGCGCGCCCAATGATACTCGGTAGGCAGCGAAGCAGGCGGCGGAAGCGGGCTTTATTGCCGGGGGGAAGGGGCTGCCAGCCTCAGCCACTGTGAGGTGCCGGTCACTCCGAAGCAGAATGGTGCAATCCCCCTCCGCTCTTCTGCCCCGACTTGGGTCCTGAGGAAGCGGGGGCCGCGCTCCGACAGGAGGGGCGAGGCCTCTCCCGGGCTCAGCGGGGTCGGGTCAGCGGGGTCGGGTGGCGGCCGAGCGGCAGCCGGACTTCTCCCCTCACCAGTTCACCTTCCTGGGCCCGCTTCTTTGCCCCAGCTGCACTTCCCGGACCTGTCGTGTCAGTCGCGACAGCCGGGGCTCGCGATTCCGATCGCCGCGTCTCCCCTCAGACCGGCTGTGGAAGGCCAGCCGGTTTGGGTGGAAGGTGGGACGTGGCTTTTTTTTCCCTGGCGTGGGCTGTGGTCCCGGAGCAGCTGTCGGGGGCGGCAGGTGTCCGGGCGCTCCGCAGGGTTTCAGCCCCGCAGAAGACTGACGTGCCAGCGGCGGTGAATACAGCGCTGGGAGATAGTTATGAGCATGGAGTGGCAGAAATGGGTTTTCCCGTGTTACATGGTCGAAATGACTTTATTGACCTTGTTTGTTCCCTACAGTTCCTTTGCCAGCTTCAGACAAGGAGGTTTGAGTGCGGGATGCTAAAGCCCCCCACCTCCGCCCAAGCATTTGGAGGAGGGGACTAGGGATAGAGGGAAATCGCTCCTTGTTTCGGCAGAGATTCCCAAACTTCTCTGTCGTCTCGTATACCAAATGCAACGCAAACACCATCCTTACATTGCATATCCTAGTTACATGGAAGTGGAGAAGCTCCAGGCTCCCGCTCTTTTGATTCTGTACTTTGCCACTGTCACAGTAACTGTGCCTGTCACTGAATTTTCTCATGTCCAAGTTTCCAACAGTGTTTTTTAAGTATGCTCTCTACCAGTTGGCAATTGAAGCTGAACAGCGGCTTGGCTGTAACGTGTAAAAGCAATGTTATAAATCTTAAGTCGTTGGCAAAGTATGTGGTTTGGCTCCCTCAGTGCTCTTTCAGAACAGGGTGTAAAAACAACTATTACCATGGAGAGAAATTAGTTGCATATCAAGTCTGAAAACATGAATGAGGAGCAGAGGCAGAGAGGTGATTTTTCACTGGGCTGTGGCCTTTGCAAAGCTCTGCTCACCAGAGCAGTGTTGGGGAACGGCTGTAGCAGTGCAGCGACTGCTGATGTGGCTGATGATGCCCGCGCTGAGTGCTGCTTTTCTTTGTCTGGGTTTCGTGTAGTTGCAAATTGCAGGATTTAAACTTTTGTAATTGACATAAATGTTGCTTATATTTTCTGAGAACTGACTCGTCACACACAGGTCTAAGAAGGTGTGTACTTAGAGCCGAATAATATTTCTGCTGCTATTCTGAGCTATCCTTTTTTTTTGCCATTACAGAGCATAAGGGATTTATTTCCGATTTATTATTAATCAAGAGGGTTGATATAAGGTGTCAACAGCAACAGATGGCTAATACAAACTCTTTCCAGTCATCTTAACAGTTCTTAACTTACTTAGCTCTTGCAAAATACCAACCAGTTTAAAGCTGTGGAAGAAGAAAGGTTGAAAACTGTAATGCTATAAACTGTACAGGGGGAAAAAAAGCCCAAAAAGTTTTACATGAATATGGGCCTGGATTTAATACCCTCTATAGGATTGTTTTGAAAGTCTTTGGAGAGTTTGTTACTGTGAGGCAATTCTTTAAAATGCAGTAGTGGAAAGAAAAGTTATACAATCTACTAAATGCGATTATAGTAGGATTGTCTCATTGGAGGACTCAAATCCCACTATGATGTTTGACCTTCTCATGTTCTTTTCTCCACACAGTATAGGCAGATTTGGAGACCATCCTTTTGCCTATACTTTGTGGTGAAAAGAACATGAGAAGGTCAAACATCATAGTAGGATTTGTGTCCTCTAGTAAAATGAAATTGGCTTTTGATGCAGTTAAAGCTTTGAAGGAATTTTTGTCGTTCTTCAGTGGAGATATTCCTGATTTGAGTTTTTTTGTTTTGTTTTGCCAAATTATTTTGTGTTGATAAATGTACAGTGATTAAAGGTTTGCTTTCTACTTTAAATGTCAACTACTCTGTTAGTGTTGCTGATGTGGCCTGTGGGCAGCTGGCAGTGGAACCTGACTCCTTCTCCCAGGGTTGAAAACCCAGCTGCCACTGCAGGGCATTTTGCTTATCTGTTCCTGGTGTTCTCCTGCATGTTTGCTGGCCAGACTTTCTACTCAGCACCAGAAAAGGTCACTGTAAGAGCCCATGAAGCAAAGTGGTTTATTTCTTCATTATCAGATTGGTTCTGCACCAGTCGTATATAGGAAGAAGAAGTGGAATGAATGAAAAGGATGCCTCTGCTACCCTTCGAGTGGTACTGTGGAGGAAGACATAAGCATTTTTATTTTTAGCATCTTCTTCTAACAGATATACTTGATCATAAGTGATACTTTTATATTTGTGTTTCACAGAGACTTACTCCAGTAGTCTCACTTCTCTGGTGACTAGTGTTGCTGTTTTTAAGTTTAGAGAAGTACAATTTCAGTCTTGGAAAGACCAAGGGGTCATTCATACAAACTGTGGTGTTATAGGACATAATAGGAGACATCTCTCTCCAGCGCAGAGATCTACTGACTCAAGGGGAAGAGTTTTTTCTCTGAGATTTTTGCAGTAGGATGGATATACAATTAGTTCTTGATGTGCCATTTGTTTTCCTGCTTAGCAATGGTATTGGTAACTCAGAGGCTGTGCTCTCTTTTTACCTTTGTGTGCACCATACAGCATTTTGATCTTCACATGGCTGACGGCGCTGGGTTTTTTGTTTGTTCCTGCTTGGCTATGTTTCATGTACCTTATGTCCAAGCTTTGTGAAAACTACCACGAGTCAGCAAGGTCCCAGATGCAACTTTAAGTAGCAGGGATCATTTTTTGTCTGTTGATGGTTGTGTTTTTATAATGTCAGTCATAGCATTGTCTTCATCAAGCTGTGAGAGTTGGAATCAAAGGTGTTTTAGTTAATACCTATTAATCATGGAGAGCCTGGAGGCAAGGGACTTTAGCTTTAATAGCCCAGCTGTTCTCTCAGCTTCTTCCTGTTGGGCAGAATTAAGTAACGTGGCATAGGGTGATTTGGGGATCTTTGCAGTTGAAAAGGGTTGGGGTGGGGTTTTGGGGGGTTTTGTTTGTTTGGTTGGTTTTTTGTTTGTTTTTCTTTTTAATTTCTTTCTGAATCACTGTTTCAAGCAGGTAATATTAGTTCCTGCACTCAGAGTGTGGAATACAGATGTTATTGAAAGCTAAAAAGAAACCCCAAAACGTTGCAGACATATTGCAACATGTAGCCAAGCAGATCACCAAATGGTTCAAGACAGTGTCTCATTCTTCATTTGTATGTTCCTAGCAGAAAGAGCTCACATCAAAGAAAAGAGATGAGTTTGAAGATATCTTGGAGGAAAGACGGTTGTCCAGTGACTTGAGATACGCAATGAAATGTTATACTCCTGTGATCTACAAGGGACTTTCACCTTGCAAGCCAAATGCTATTAAAAGTGCTGTTCTCCAGTCAGAGCAGGTTCAATATGTTATCAAGCAGGTGAGTCTGGACACTGAACTGTAAGATGAGGTAGGGTGGACGCAGCCAAGCTTTGTGTGGCAGCAGGGAAAAAGACCTTGTCAAAATGATAGCTGTAGTTTGGAAGATAGCTCAGTAAATGAGTAACTTAAGAGCCGTACTCTTTTGGCAGGAAAAACAAATACTGATTTATCATAGAGCTGGCATGTCAGATAGCTCATTCATGAAACAGTGTTTTGATTTTGTGTATACAACGCTTTACCATTAACTTATCCAATGTGCCTGATTTTTTTTTTTTTAATTTCTTCTCCTACTCCACTGCCCTTGCCACAAAGCAGCATTGTGAAAGACAGAAGCACTCTCCTTCTTTGTAGACATTTTTGTGCTTTGGGGATGTCTTATTCTAATTTTACAGGCTAGTGATGTATTTATGAGACAGTCCTAAATGCTACTTTCATTAAAATGAGAGTTACATTTCAGAGATAATTCTTTGAAACACTGTCTAACATGTAACCATATTTTTGTTTTAAGATGAAGGGCAGCTGCTATTTTGTAATGAATAAAGTATTTTATGGTCAGACTGGCTGATATTTTATATTGTATTGAAATGCCTGAAATAAGAGCATGTGCTAGTTAGCAGAGTAACTATTTTCAGTATTCATAAAAAATACTTCCAAGTGAATAGAAGTATATAAGATGTTTTGGTTAGTCCTGAGTGGTCAGTGGCTGCTGTAAAATTTTTCTGTTTGTTTATTTTAATGGTCAGTGTTACAAATGATGTATCAGTGTCTGTTATGATGTGACAAAGTAAACAATGTCCTGCAAAGTAGTCCTGTTGCACATCATGGATTGCTAAGTAGTATGAAATCCAAAAAAGTCTTTCAACTTCAGAGACACTAAAAGATTTACTGAAAGAAAATACTTTAGAGGACTTGACAGAAAGACATTTGTATGATGTTTTCTTCTGAAGTGCTGCATTTTTGATGGAAAATTATTTTGATGGATATTTTCTGGGCTAGCATCACATGGTTGAAGGGGGTCAGCAGACCACCCATTGCAGCCTAGTTACCAGCAGTACACAGAGATTACTGAAAGTATCTGAGACTGTCTTGGGCAATGAGCCCAACAGTCTACGATTAGTGACCCTCCTTCCTGAGCAAGGTTTACACGGCTTTACACAAGCATACTAGAATTTGTTCTCGTGCCAAATTGTTGAGGTTACTAAAGTTCAGTATTCAAAATGAAGGTCATTTGTTTGTTTTAGCTTGCTATATGTCACTGATCTGGTTTTTTGATTCCTGATTTTGGGGAATAAGTGCTTAGTTCTATAGTGGATGTTCACTTAAATCACACAGGATGATCTGTGTGGTAATCCTTTTGCTGGTGAGTAAGAACAGTATCTCTCCCTAGTGAATAACAAGAAGAACTTTTTGGCTTCCTAAGAGAAACTGATTTTCTTAGGCTGAAGTGGAAGCAGCTTTTGACTTCTTTAAGCATTTAAAGTAATCAGTTAAAACTACATGTGGAAATACTTAGGATGAAGGATAATGCATTTAAGAAAACACAACTGAAACAGTAGATATGATGGAGGAGATGGATTTTCACATATGTCGCAAAACAGAAATAATAGGTAAACAGTGCTGGCTTCTAAACAGAGCTGTGCTTTTTTTGGTGGCTTTTTCTTCTGCCATTCCTTCTCTTTTCTCCTCTCTGTTCAGTAGAAGTCATATTCCCTATTCCATAATAGTAAAAGGCTTAACTTTTCAATTAAATATTTCCAGATTCAAAGTATCAAATAGGAGGGATGACCATTATTTAAATCTGTTTTAAGAAACTTCAAAAGGGAATGTGCATGGCAGCAGAAAAAAAGTCATTAATATGCACAGTTGGTAGAGAGTGCTTTGTATGCAATTCAGCTACCCATTGCCAAAGTAATACATTATCAAGAAATTGAAGTGTGACAGGGCTGAGGTTCTCCATAAACTCTAACCCAAATGCACTTAAAATATTTCCGTTGTGATTATCTCTGCAAATGTAGGTTAAATTTTACTAGTCAAAGAAAAATGCACACAGCCTTTTTTAGACAGATAATATAGGAAATATTCTTTGAACTTAAATCTCCTCTGCACATGCTACAAGTTAAAACATTCAGATGGTGTGTTTGGTGTGTGGGGGGAAATCATTGCACACCCTTCCCCCTGCCATTGACATCTAAGCCCATTCTTGATTTTTGGGCAGCTTTCACTTGGCTTTCTCGTGTTGACAAACACCGAATAGATTCTGTATAATTAGATAAATGCCTATCACATAAAATAAACTCTTGTGGACTATTGCAGTAGTTCTGCCATAGTAGCTGTGGCACATTAGAATGGTGTGCATGCGCAAGGGGAAGGGAACAACTTTTCACTGCTATTTTGTTTCTCTTTAGTTAGCCAAAGAGATGGGAGAATCACCTGATATTATTCAAGAAGAAGCCACGGAAATCCTGGATGAGATGGGCCACCGGATGCAGTTAGGAGCTGTCAGATTTTTTGCCTTTACTCTGAGCAAAATATTTAAACAGCTTTTCCAGAGAGTTTGTGTGAATGAAGAAGGAATGCAGAGAGTGAGTACCGGTGGGGGAGAAAAAGTTATAATATTTTCATACCAGTCACTTAGACAAGAACTCTAATCTTTAAGTAAAAAATATGAAAAATACCCTTTGGTATTTCTTAACAAATGTAGGAGGAAAGAGACATGATATATAAGTATTTTAGAGGCAAACAGCAATTAGGAATTTTGTACATTTTCCAAATGCTTTCTATGGTAAGGAATGCCATGTGCCCATGATTCTGTTAGATCAGCCACTGAAAGAGTCTTTTCTATATCATACTATAAAATAATAACACTTTTAGCTGAATTGGGGGTGAAAACAATGTTACGAGGCTGAGTGGACTGGCTGTTCTGCAAAACCTTCATACGACTAATGGTAGTGAAACACAGCACCTCTGAGGCAGAAGATGCTTTAGGTTTGCTTCAGTTTCCTGGGAGCCATTGTCTCTCTCTTTCATTTCAGGATGCTGCTGTTTTGGAGGGTGTACTTTATTCCCTGGAAGTCAGCAATGCCAGTCCTGATAGCCCCTATTTGGTTTTTCATCCCCATTTAGAGGGATTTTAATTAGACTATCACATAATGAGGTGGCCCTAGTTTTTGAGTCCTGTGATACCTGTGAACCACAGGTTGCTAGTCTGGAAACAATTGCTCCAAATTTCCTATGGATTCCGTGCTGAAAAAGGTGTAGAGTGTGTGGACAGAGAAACCACCCAAACAAATCAGTTTCTGTTTGTCTTAAGCCCACTGAAAGTTTACATTTGCAAATTTCAACAGTCAGTTGGTAAATACTGGAACAATATTGTTTGCACTGTTCTTTTTTAGTTGCAACACGCCATTCAGGAGCATTCAGTTGTACTGCTGCCCAGTCACCGAAGCTATGTAGACTTTTTGATGCTGTCTTATTTGCTATATACGTATGACTTGGCTTTGCCTGTCATTGCTGCAGGAATAGGCAAGTATGTTCTTTTAACAATGTTTTCAGGATTTGGAGAATCGGTAGCAAGGGGTATGGTAGCTGCAAAAGTATTTGTGTTTAACATCTGTTCCAAATACGTCTTGTTAAAGCCTCCTTGGGGGAGAGGCTTACAATGTCTGAAAGCTTCTCACTGGTGCTGAGTTTTTTTTCATAGCAAGTTCACCCAGGAGTACCCCATCTGCCCAAGGCTGGGGCAAATATAAGAGTTGCAAAGGCAACTTCTCTATCGCTTTTATGGCCTGGGAACAGGCAAAACCTTGCTCAAGAGCTACTGTGGATGCAGAACTTCTTTATACTTCATTATACAGTTTTAAGTGCAATCACAGTAGCCAGATACGAAGTGCCAGCCACCTTGTGTTTGTTGCCACTGTGACTGATTCCCTTGAAGCATTGGCATAACTCTGTTATGTGAAATGCTGAGAGCAGAGCTGGCTGGGAAGCAAAATTTCATGTCAGAGGTCAGGATTTTGGACATACTTAGTTCTGAAGCAGACAAATCCAGTATATTTGTGGGAAACAATTCTTGAAGACTTGAACAATAAATGTGTTCTGAGTTAATATGTGTTTTGAAAACCTGGACTCTGTAAGCACTTAACTGGGAAGCCTGATCTTGGAAGTCTCGGGTATCAACCAGGTCTTCTAAGCAGGCAGAAAACCACCTCAAGGTCTGGTGCAGCACTGTAATATGTACAGGTAAGCTAGAAAAGATCTGGGAACCTACTGCTTTACTGTAGTCTACTTTTCCTGTCAAGAGGTTGGAAAGACCAGTAGAAAACCAGCAGAAGCTGGGAGAATGTGCTTGCTATGGAAGATGAGATTCCCATGTTCTTTGAGTTGGCATCTGGGTGATGCAGGTTAGATTCTGGTGAATTCAGAAGTCAATGTCTCATAGCTGCCTGGATCAAGGTGTTACATTATTATGTTAAAAATCTGCTCACATGCTGTCATAGGTATTGGTGTAATCCTTTGCTGACTTGGATTAGAGTCTTTTTGAGTTTTGGACCTCAAAATGGTATCTTATGATACTATTAGTTTAGCTTACAGGGATTTTTTAATGATTAACATTTTTTTAAGTGTTTTGGGTGCTTCAAGGTCAAAGTTCTCCTAAAGAATTAGGGGCTTGCAGCTTGATGTTGCATGTGTGTATTATTTTTAATTCCTCTGGAGCAAATACAGTTCTCTGTGGTTGTAGTTGTATTTACTGTATGTCGTGTTAGAGGTTCACAAGATGTGGTTTACAAACTCACTCTCAAAGTGATACTTGTGCTGAGTGGAAAGACACTCTCCTGATATAGGTGGTAAGTGCCTTTGCTTTGTTAATTATCTCTTGGCCTCAAGTAGCATATAGAGAGATCTGTGGGGATTAGCTAAGAGAAGGTAAACAGTTGTCAGTAACACTGGTAAATCCTCATGCAATACATTAGCAGGAATCTAACTGGTGCTAGGATCACGTTTCTGGCATCTATGATGTCTTCAAGGCAGTAATTGTCAGCAATGCAGCTAGAAATGTGAATTTATCTTAGTGAATAACTGTTCTCAAGTATTTCATGGATTGAAGTGGCAAGGAGGTTGAAGTGGCACATGGCCAGCTGCTGTTTAGACTTGTTTTAAATGCTTCCTTAAGTAATTTTTTTAAGTTAAGTGTTTCCTGGTTTTAACAAGTTAAGCATTGACCACCGTTCCTTAAAACTAAAAAATTTACAGAAAATTTTAGCTGGTTTGATGTACGTCCCTCAAAGTGATGATTCAGGATCATAAATGATCTAATGTAGTTTAACTAGCCAGGTAATTTCTGTGTCTTCTAGGATACATTCAATAGTAACTGCTTTTTTCTACAAATGAGTGAGACGATGTACTTCAAAAATTTAGTCTTTATTATGGTTGAACTCTGGCCATCTAAATTATGAAAATAAATTGCTCTAAGTGAATGCAGCTTACCACGAAAAATTGAAAGGATATTATAATGTGCCATTCATGTCTACATAAGTCTTGCTAGGCAATCTGAAGACAAATAAGCATATTGGCAACAATGGAGTCCTTGTAAGAGATTTTCTGTATTCTGGTAATTGGGGTATTAGAGAACATGGTTGATTCTTCTGGCTGATATTAATCAATAAATTTTGTATGTGTGGTTTTGTTTTCTGTTTGATTGTTTTTCAGATTTCCTAGGAATGAAAATAGTTGGTGAGCTGCTACGAAGGGCAGGTGCCTTTTTTATGCGCCGTTCCTTTGGTGGGAACAGACTGTACTGGGCAGTGTTTGCTGAATATGTAAAAACAATGTTGCGGGTAAATAAATTACTAAACTCTCAAAATGTATGCTTAAGAAAGACTGTTGGAATGATTCATGTGAAATATGCAGGATGCTGTTATGGGTATGTGATTGAAAGTCTTCATGGTGATTTGATTATGTCAGAATTGCTGTAGGTGAAGACAATTATTCTGTTATTACAGTTCAGCGGTAAGTGATAAACAAATTACTGCTTATCAGTTGCTTTGGATTGTGTGCCCATAACTCATGACAGATACAATATTTTCATTAATTTAACTATATGGTGTGGCAAATACAATGAATGAATATAGGCATAGAGATGAATGAAGTTAGACATGCGTATCTTCCATTAAAAAAAATAACTTACTTACACTTGAAGTACTTAAAACTATTGTGGACAATAAAGAATAAGTGTTTTTTTCTGACCAACTTGTTTGTTTGTTTTACTTTTGAAGAGTGGCTATGCCCCAATTGAATTTTTTCTTGAAGGGACTAGAAGCCGCACTGCCAAGACTCTGACTCCAAAATTTGGTAGGTTTATTGAAAATGTGGAATTTTTTATTATTATTATTATTATTATTAGTGTTTTAATTACTGGGTATGTGCTTTGTAAGCTCCTCAGATAGAAAAGGATGTTAAAGTATGGGAAACTGGGAAAATCTGTCAGAGTACTGGAAAATATTATGGTTGGAGTTCCAAGACCATACAAAGAGCAGCAATACATGTCACTTACACTCCACTGCTTTTGCTCCCTTTTATCCATTGTGTACTTAATTCAATTGCTCTTTACCGTTTTCTTCCTAGAAAATAGGCATCTCCTGACCAGCAGAGAAATATTGTAATCTAACTGTAAAAGTAATGGGGAATCTTTAAAAGGAAGATACTGTGTGACCACAGAGCAGTCTGCTGAAAAGAGCACAAATAGCTATCTTAAAGGATTGCTCCCATTTAGCTTCTGTTTTAAAGCTTGGGCAATATCTTGTGCTTCTGCTTGCTTGAAGAGAGAACAGGCACAGTGCACACCTGTTGGCAGTTTCTAAAATGCAGAGATACCCTTTTCAAAGTTAAATTGCAGTTCTTTTCCCTCTTTGAAAAGGACAGGTGATTCACTTTTTCTTTTTCCAATTTGCAGGTCTTCTCAGCATTGTGATGGAACCCTTTTTTAAACGTGAAGTCTTCGACACATACCTTGTTCCCATCAGCATCAGTTATGAGAGGATATTAGAAGAATCTCTCTATGCATATGAACTCCTAGGAGTCCCAAAGCCCAAAGAATCTACATCTGTATGTAAATTCCTTAAGAACAGGACATAAGTGGATGTATACACACCCTGTAGCACCAAAATTTGAGTTTTGCTCTTCCCATTTTCATAGGGGTTGTTAAAAGCCAGAAGAATCCTCAGTGACAATTTTGGTACCATACATATCTACGTTGGCCAGCCGGTGTCCCTTAGAACCTTGGCATCTGGGAGAATCAATCGGTGCCCATACAATTTGGTTCCCAGGTACCGCATCTTTCCATGGTGTATGCACAGGAAAAACACTTGTTTAGTCCTCACCTATGTAAATAATTAAGATGTTCTCTTGTACTTTGTTTTCAACTTCTCTTGCCTCCCTCCGTCTGACTATTGAGACCACTGAACCTGTTTTGCCTTAGCAGAGGCTTATCATGCTTGTGAATGGGTGTTTCTGAAATGGGTTGGTACTTGCGTGGCTTTGCCCTGTGTTGAGAAGATGCCATTTTAACGTTTAATGATGATGCGTGAGCCAGGCAAAGCTCTATGTTCTGAGAAGTCAGTGCTTTTGCCACTTTAAAATTTCCACCTTTCCCTCCCTTCCTGCTTTATTCCTGCAAACTGTTAAGTGACCACGTTTCAGGGAGCTGTAGCTGTGACTGAATTGGGTGGCTTTTGCAATTTGTTATGTAAAACATAATGCTTTTGAATTTTATTTGAAGATACCAAATGTACAGCACCAATACAGAGTTCTGTGCTTCAAGTACTGTCATGAAGCTACTGATGTTTCGCTCTATACTTCTGTTCTACCATAGCACAGAGATAGAATCACCCTCTAGATGTTAGGTGCTGTAAAGTAGTTATGAGTCTAGGAGCAATATGGAAGAAATGAAGGGGGGTGTGATTTATATTCCAGTTTTCGGAGCTCTTTACTTTGAACTGCATTGTTCTTTTCAGGCATCTTCCCCAAAAGCCATCGGAGGATATCCAGGAATTTGTCAGTGATGTAGCTTATAAAATGGAGCTCCTGCAAATAGAAAACATGGTTTTGAGCCCATGGGTGCTAGTTGCTGCTCTCCTGCTCCAAAATTTGCCAGCCATGGAATTTGAACTTCTATTAGAAAAGACCCTGTGGCTTAAAGGCTTAACACGGACTTTTGGAGGATTCATTGAATGGCCTGGTATGCACAAAAAGTGTTTTCTGTTCCTCTTGTTGCTTATGAAAGATAAATTAGATTTCTGTGGAAGCAGTGTATGATGACAGCTTTATAGAATGTTTTCTCAGAGTTGTAAATGGATTTTAGGGTATGCTAAAAATTATGCTAAAACCTGACAGGTTTTGACTTAACCTTTAGAAGATACTATTTCGAAAAATTCTTAGGTGGAAGGAGATCAGATATTTTACTATTATATCCTAAATGAGGGGGACATGGTAAGGTACTTGTATTAGAGTACTGACATTAGTCTAGTGTCTGTCTTTCTGAACCCTATGGAAGTCACAGGCAATTTTCTGATCTGCAGCAGTTAACTTGGTGTAATGCTACATTTTCTGCTTGATATTGACTGTAATGTAAGTTGTTACTGTGGCAAAGAACTAGCAGAAACAAATGGGGGAGAAAAAATCAAAACTCTTCAGTTGTCTGTTAATTTTTAAATTTCACTTCATCTCCAGAAACAGTGATGACTTTTTGGAAAGAAGGCTTCCTTTGTGGTTTTATTTATATACTTATACACAAACACACTCTTTTTTTTAATATATATATGCAGGCTGCTGAAAGATTGATTGTCCTTTCAGATTTTCTGTTTTAAACTTCCCTCTGTGAGCCAGGGTGACACAGGTAATTAATTCTAGAGCCTCAGGATGTAAGTAGTAAAGCTAGCAAAGAAAAATATTGTGTAATGCACCATTTACCTTTTCACTGTAGGTAGACTTAAACCATGGATCTTTGCTTTTGTAGTCCTGTATATAAACAAGGATCCCTTACACTACTGCAATAAAGAAATAGGAGCTGGCTACTGGTATAACAGAACTCTGTCATTTCTGGAAAAAAAACACTTCTTTCAGGGATCCACACTGCAGGGGAAGCAGGCAAGTTCTGCTTCTACCAGACTGGTAAAATCAAGAATTTCATGACAGTATTTGAACAATGTTTAGAATCTTACTGCACAGTAAACTGAACAACATACCACATTCAGGTTAGCTTATTTATTTTGTTTATTTTCTTAGCAACAGTGAATAAGCATTTGCTTTAGTAGGGTTGTGATATAGTTGGGGAATTGTTGGAGTGTGCTGGCTGTGCTCAAGGCATCAGTTGCATAGAAACAAGGTTTGTTGTTTTGGTTTAGATTGTCAGTAATTTGAAAGAATAAATACATTTTAAAGGCTAATTTGGTGGTGTCAGCAATTATGTGTACCCTGTCCATTCTTCTGTCTCCAAACAGCTAGTTGTTTCTTCCTTTGTGATGCAGATTGGTTGTTACAGGCAGAACATTTGCTTGACTGTTAGAAATTTTATATTCAAAACAGGAACTGCAGAATTACTTACTCAGTCTTCTGCTTCCTATTGCATTGAGAAACTTGGGAGCTTTAGCAAAACTGGAATAAAGTAGGCTGAAGGAATAAATAAGATGCAAGGAGACTTTGCATGAAATCTGTATTAAAGGAAAAGAATAGGCGTGTTTTTCTGTCGGAGGCTATATTGATGTGATATGCTTGTGGTGCTGTGAACATGCAAAATGTATTAAAATATTCAGTAAAAAGTATTTGTTGCTTCTTTCCTTGAATGGCAAATTGATTCCAATTTTGATGCGGGGAATCTTTTGATAGTATTTAAAGTCTAAGGTATTCTAAAAGGGTGAGTATATTTTCAAGAGCAGAGATACCACTCTTTATCTGAATAAAGTTTGTGGTGTGTCACACTGACAAAAAAACTTTACCAAAGCTCACAGGTTTATGATACTCATGCCTGCCTTGGGAGAATTCTCAAGTGTGCAACCCGCACACTTCCTTACTTTAGACGTTTTGAAAGGATTATCTTACATAACAGGAAGAGATTTGAGTTTAAGTACAGTCCAGTTTCTCATTGAGCAGGTATGTTACATTACAATACTTATGTTAGGATTTCCATAAATTTAATTTGGCATGAGGCCTTCCTTGTGTATGAGAGTTGATGAAAAGGGCTATAAGGACCTGTACATCTGATTTAAAACTTGTAGTGTCAGAAATGCCTAAGCAGAATTATGGTCTCCATTTCCTTAGTGATGAACGTATCCATCAAACCTCTTTTTATGTGAAGGCTCAGAATACTCGTTCCAGAGACAAAGGAAGCATTTGTCACTGTTAGCCAGTGGAAGGAATTAAAGTGTTTGAATTTAAAGTGTTTTAATTAGAGAAATGTCTGGAATTGGTTCTCTCCGTGTCATACTATTAGGCTGCCAGTTCCTGGTGTGGATTGTTTTGGAACATCTCTCCAATTGAATGTTTGGTGTAATAATTGGTCTTCAGTGATAAAACTTAATGAAAGAGTGGTGCATTTTAGGCTGTTTCAGTAGAGTTATTCTCCCTTTTGCATCTTCCTGAGTGTTGTGTTTTCCTATTAGATAACCTGTGTGCCAAAAAAGCAGTCCTATCTGGCCTCACCCTGCATTCCAACGTTGCTCAACTTGTCGATGGCCACGTGGTCCTGAATGACAAAGGAGTGGAGGATGGAGCTATAGGGGAGATTGTCTTCAAGCGTGCCCTGGCCATCCTCATGTGTGCCACATACAGAAACCAGCTGCTGAACGTGTTTGTGCGTCCATCTCTGGTGGCACTTGCCTTGCAGATGACACCCAGCTTTAGAAAAGGTACATTTGGATTCTTGAGAACCTGCTGGCTTTGCTCCTTGTGCCATCAGCTGTGAGAGGAGCTTGAGGTTCCTGTGACTGCTAGAGGGAGCTATTTGAGACCGTTATACTTGGGATAAGGCCCATGGCTTACGGTGGATGTGTTGGGGGGGCATGCGGGTAGTTTGCTTGTTTTCTTTTGTTTGTTTACCTTTTGATGCCTTTGGAAGTAGGTATATTGTGCTGAGAGGGCAGGGGCAAGGTGAGCTGGTCTCAGTTCCTGGGTTCCAAATTGCACGCAACTCAAGCAGTTATACAGTGCAGTCAGGTCTCAATCTTTCTTCCCGCTGTTGCTTCTGAAGTAGTTAAGTGTTTTCCAATACTTGGTACTTAAAGGAACTTTGCGGAATTCACACCTTAGTTTTTTTGCAGCATCTGATTATGTGGCATTTAAAGCATGTTCTGAGAAGCTACAACTCCTTGCTCTTTTCTTTTGTTAACAGTTGAATCAAGTTCTTTGAGTCCTTGCTGTTCTGTTGTGGTGGTTTCTGATGTATGTGTATGTATGTATGCTTTTAATGTCAAGTCCATGCTTTATTTGAAGTAGGTACTCTCTCAAATAAGGGATAAATGGCTTTTCACTTGCATGTCTTAAATTATGTTTTTAAACAACAGTACTTAACAATGTTTTTTCCAGAGGAAGTCTATAGCTGCTTCAGCTTCTTGAGAGATGTTTTTTCTGATGAGTTTATCTTCTTTCCTGGCATTTCATTGAAGGTAAAAACATGCTTTATACAAAAATACTGATTTACTTGCAGCCAACCAAAATAGCATCTGATGCCAGGGCTCTGCCAAACAAGTGCTTTGTGATAAACTCCTACGGTGATATCACCTTGATCTGTAAGTGGAAGGGAGAATTTAAAAGGGGGTCATTTGGTTAGTTGCAAAATGCAGTCTGAATCCACAATGTTGCATATGCAATCTTTTTTTCCCTGAAATTGCCCAATTCTGAACTATTAACATGAACTGTAGCAGAAATCTGCCTTTTTTGCATAAAGCTACCAGTTTTCCAGCACAGGTATAAAAATATATGTAAAGCAGTCTTTTAGATGAAGTGTAAATACTGTCCTCTTGCTCTGCAGTTATGAAAGAGACCTTGGGCAGTGAAGAAAAAAAGTGCTAATGTAGATTTAATTGAATTCTGTCACAGAGTGGGTATGTTCTGTCAGCACAGAAACAAAACTGGAATTCTTGTTGAGGTTACACTAGGATAATTTTTTCTGAAAGCTCTTGCAGACTCTGTAGCAGAGGGGCACTGCTGTTCTTTGTGGAAGTGAAACTATAGGTATTATACCAACTAATGACCAACCGGTTTCTGCCGTTATCTTTGACAAATAGAGTATGCAATTCTAAATTTAAGTACCTATTGTCCTTTGGGTGATTATACCCCTTCTCCTGCTGCTGTGATTAGTTGTTCTGTACAGCTCCACATGTGTGGTCTGTGATGGCTGGGCTGTCAGAGGCCCGATAACACCCAGTGCCTCAGCTGTTCGAGTGTGCCTCTGTACCCACCTCTCCTTGACTGCACAGCGTGGCAGTATCTGCTCCTGTAGTGTCTATACAATGTGTAGTGTTCCTCTTAGGCCTTGAACTCTGAAAGTTTCTATGTTCCAGTGTATTAGTAAACTTTTTTTTTCAATATTTTGGTGGTTTATAGTTGAGCCCTTTTAGCTTTTTATTATTGGCATTTATCTCGTGGAGAGTCAGGTAGTACATTGTGAGCACAATGAGGGATGCAGCCTGTGAAGTCTTTTTAAGTGAGAACTTTCCTATGGCATAGCAGCGTCCCTTTTAGAGTCTTACGGAAGCTTTAGTTGCATCCTGTTTTCTTGAAAAGAGTTTCCCCTCATTTTACCTCCTGCCCCATGCAACCATCAGCTCAAAGGCAGTACTGTTCCTGTGTACTTACTGTACTTACTGCAGGGCTCAGTGTGCCTGTGTGCACCCCAACACAGCTGGACACAGGCAAAGCGGGAACACTGCGGGCAGCACTTGCTCTCTGCAGGACTTGCTTTGTTAGTTTGTACACAAACCTGCTGAATTGGAGCTGGCTCTGGTCCAGCCAGCTTGAAATGCAGGTGAGACAGGCTTATCAGTAAAAGAACTGGTTCAAAATCATGCCCAATATATATTGTTAAGTCCATGTGGAATTTTTTGTCTGGATTTTAAACCTATTACATGGGATTTTTGTCAATGCTAAGGCCAAATATCTGATGGTGATAGTTGTGATCTTTCCTGCATTAGAAAAGAGATAAGCATAGTTTTTCTAAGAATATTCAAGGCTTGTGGCTATATTAAAATCTCATAGATTTTAATATAGAAGAGAATTGGGCTTTTTTGAAAGGCTGATTGGCACAGTTATGTTTAGTTTTATTTGTAGTTTTTTTTATTTTGTAGCTTTTTTGAAGTGGCTGAACATAGCAGGGAGCAGGAAGGTGGCTGACTATGACTGACTTTACTGGAGTCAGATGAAAGAGTTGCTGTAATGTTAAGCAATCTCTTACCCACCCCTCTATTTGTTCATGTGTCTGTTGTGTCTATGTGCCATGCCCTTGTGTTATCTGTGTGTGTGTCCCCTCCCCCTTATGCCCATATTGGCAGTAAAATGGTATTGTCATTGACATTTCCATAATTTGTAAACTTTTTGGCTGTTTTATTGTCTCTTTGATAGAGGGCGGGTCAGTGAACTGTATTATCATTTATTGCAAACAGTGGACATGAGGTAAAGGCAAACCCTTACTTTAATAATAGATAAACAAAAAAGAAATACTCACAGAAAAAAATCAGACAACCTGACCCTATTTTGACAAAATCCTGAGGGAGGATTTTGCAATAGCAGCCACAACCACTCTCTTTGTGCCAAGGCCTGCTGTGCATCAAGATACTGCTGTGTTTAAGAACATGTTCCCACTGCCTTTTTGTAAGGTTATTTCTGGTAGGTAGGAAAATATTGATTCAAGTCTCTTGAGAACTGAGTTCAGAAATGAAAGTCATGCCCTGTTGTGGTTTCTGTTGATGATTTTGTGGGAAATGGACTTCCTGTAAATGTTGAAATGTCAGTTATGCATCTCTCGCCCAGGATTTTGAGGAAGGATGTTTTCTGCTCACAAAATGTGATGCCATTCAAACGAGTCAACAGGAGATCTACCCTACTGACAAAGGAAGTGTAACAGTGTCTTTCTTGTCAGCTATGTTCAGACCTTTTGTGGAAGGTTACCAGGTATGTTGTCCTTCTGAAAATTATCTTTTTTTTTTCCCCTGTGTTTTATAGGGAAAGTAGGAGAGCTGTGATACTTCTGCAGCATAAATAGTGACTGTTTTCATGGTGGGCGAGTGCAAGAGTTACAAAATAGCAGTAAAACACCACCCTCTCTCCGGGATCCTGATTTTAGCTTTTGACTCAGCAGTTTCCAGTTACTAAAGTAGTAACTATCTTGTAGTGTGATGGCTCATTGTAGGTTTTTAGGCTTCCTGGGGAGTGTGCTGCTACCAGGTTCATTGTTCTTTTTTACAGGAGCTCTTGCTTAATTCATTTTATGTGGGCTGTCCTCCCAGGTGTGGAAATGAGTTTATATCTCCTATCTAATAGCTTTTATGTGAGTCATTAATTACATCTGTATCTCTTTAAATTCTTCTGGTTTTCCAAGGTTTTAAAGAGATTAAACACTTACATTCCTGTAGTAAGCAATGTATACAAATCCAGGAGGCTAAAATCTCAAGTATGTCAGCACAGGATTAGTGGGACTGTAGATGTTTAACATAGTGGAATCTGTTAATGATCTGATGTATGACTTGGGCCGAACTGTACTGATTTGCCCAGTTTTCCCATCTGTGAAACACATATTGCTTTACAGAAATTAAACTGGTTTTTGTTGTTAGAACAGGAATGTTAAATTAATGTCTAAGATAACTATTATAGAAATACTGAACCTTATTTTAATATTGGGATTCTCATGCCTGTAAAACAGTAATAAAACTTTCAGATGCCCTATGTAGTGACCTTTTGAGTTCCTCTCCTACACTTTTCAAAGTGGAATAGTACTACTCACAAGGACATGTCTGTTTGTAATTCATAACAAGCTGACAATCAAAAAGAAAGGAATGCTAATTTTCTTTAAAATGTTAGTTAATTTTCAGATACCTCTCAAAGGAAATGAAAGAAGCATTTACTGAGAAGCAGTTTATACCTGGCGTCCGCAACTTTGTTTTTCAACTTCTTGAGAAGGGTGTGTACAGCTGTTATGCAATATGATTTTACAAGAGTAGCCTGTTAATAGAAAATTATAAAAATTTTAATTGTTTAATTGTTTCTGCTCTCTCCATAGGGGTTACGCAGTGTTATGAAGCCCTGTCTTCTGACATGCAGAAAAATGCCTTAGCAGCTCTTGTGCAACTAGGTGCTGTGAAGAAAAAGAAAATGTAAGCAATGTTGGCTTTTTGATCTGTAGAAGTCAGTGTGTAGTCTTAGTGGCAATTCTTAATGTCTGAGCTCTTAGTATGAAACAAAACAGCAGAACCCCAACTGCCTGGGCACCAGTCATATAGTGGTTGACTGGATTTCTGGAATCATAGTGAAGACCTGGTAGTTCCTTTCTGTACAAGTAGAATGGCACATCCTCATAGTGAAAAGACTTCTGTAGGACCTAGCAACAAAATTCATTAACTTACTAGTAGGCTGCTTCTGAGTCCCTTTACCTTTTGGTTTTCAAATTTTCTCCCAAGGCTCTGATAAGCAGAAAGAACAGAACTGCTTATTTGTAATAGGAGAGTTACTCTGTGTGTTACAATGAGCCTTGTCAGGCAATGTAAGCAAAAGTCAGGAATACTACCGCTTTGGGGGAGTTCAGCACTGACATCTCAAAGCAATTTAACTGAAAGCTTAATCATTAAAGTCTTTTAGCAGTTCATAGTTTTTAGGCCTAAGATTAAAATTCACCATTGTTATACAAAAGTATGGTGATACACATTATTGTGTTATCAAATTAATTTGTGTTGTGGTGCTTCTTGCTGTATTTAAAAGTATGACCAAGGAAGTCCCTGCAGTGTCTTGAGTGTTTCACAGAACACAGTTGTCAGGTGATGACCCTGAGCTATTTCCTTATGCCTCCGTTCAGGAAATGAATAGGTTAAAGTTTGTAATGCTCTTGAAAAGTACACAAAATACTGTAGTCGTTATGTCCCCTGCCATGGCACTGTGCTGGATAGATGTGTATACCTAAATTGCACTTTCAAGTAAAAGGAATAAATTGCGTGCAACAAAATTTGACACCAGATGAATATTTGGTTCAGTTTCAGAGAATCTTGAAAAATACAAGATTGAAAACAAACAATTGTTCTCTTCCTGCAGTTGTCCCCTGTTAAAACTGAGGGAAGAGGGAGGCATGGGGACTGTGAACAAGAGAAAGGATAAAGAAAGCATAACTCTTCTTGAGTAGAAGTCTGATGTCCTTAAATTTAATATTAATATATAAATACTATGTAATTGTGAAAATGTTTTAAGTCAGGTTTTAATTCAGGTTTAATTCATATTTGTGTAGAAATTACTGGAATAAGAAATATTCATTGAAAAAACTTTTTTTTTTCTTGTAACTATAGGTCGAATGGATTCACTTACAATGTAAATCAAGAGGCTGTTAGTAAAATCCTGGACATGTTTGGTAAGTGTTCTCTAATTAATTTGAAGAGAGCTTATCAAGTTATAAATTACTTTTGGACAATGCACATACATTCGGTGTAGTGCTTTTTCCCTAGTAATTCCATAGATTTAACTGTGTAAAAATCCTAGTAATATTTTTTTATGATACTTTCTCTGGTGTCATTGGCTGCAGCTTTGAATCTCCCTTCTTTATTTCACATATTGTGCAAACCAATGACCAAGAGAAATGAAGTAACAAGTAGTTAAATGGCATGGTCTTTATAGCAGGTTGATCAGAATGTTTACCCTTTTTTTTGTTAGATGCTCGGATACCTGTACAGAAACCTGTGGCTGCACGACTCTAAGTGGTTCCTGATACTGTGAGTGGATGTAAGTGCCTGCTGAGAACACGGACCACTGCCCCACTGGAGCAGGGATGGGAGCGGGCAAGGTTCCCCTCTTGCCCAGCGAGCCTGCAAGCTGAGAGGCAGAGAGGTGTTTTACAGCTGGGCAGCTCTCCATGACCGCTTAGGAGTTGCTGCTGTGAGGGTTAGAGTTGTATTTGTATCCTCACTATCTTTTGGTTTTTAAAACAAATTAAACATTGTCTTTTTTTTAATGATAAATATTTAAAGAGACGTGAACAGTAATCGCTACCTAAATACATTTTTCTAAACTTATAACAAGGAATGTGATTGGTTTCAAGTATTTCATGGATATGAAAATGTAATGGAGTTGACAGACTTGCTATTAATATTTAGAAAAAAAACCATTGCGGGCTGGCTAAATGCAAGGCAAGGCATTCATAAGGACTGAAGAGCACAAATCAAACCTTGGGCAATAACCAGGACTGCTAATTGTTTTGCGTTTTGTGTTTTGGTATTTTTTTGTTTGGGTTGGGTGTGGGTTTGTTTTTTTTTGAGGCAACTTGGCATTATTTTAATTACTTCATGAATGTTATATTTAAACACTGAATTAAAGCAGCGCCGTTAATGTGTCTGTCTGTCATCTCTTCTCCCCCTTCCCATCGCTGACTGCGGTGCCCGTCACAGACCCAAAGTGGGGACAGGCGCGGGGGGAAGGCGAGCGAGCGGGCGGATCACGGGAACGCCGGGGGCGGGGGCTGGGGCGGGGCAGGGCTGGTGGGCGGGGCGGCTGTTCCGGGGGAGCGGCCGCGCTGAGCGCGGTCCTCCGACCGGCGAGGCAGCATGGCCCCGGGAGTGGAGCTGGGTCTTCGCGGCGGCGGCGGCTGGGCCGGGCGGGGCTTGAGCGAGCTGCGCAGCGCCACTTCCCCAGCAAGGTCGGGGGCGGCCGGCGGGGCTGGCGAGGCCGGGCTGCCGAGGCCCCGCCGCCCTGCGCGGCGGCCCTGCCAGCCGGCCCCTGCGCCTTCCTGACCCTCCAGCATGTTACGCGCCGCTGCCCGGCCGCCTCCGACGCCTTCCACCGCACCCTCTTCGTGTTCGCCTGCCGCGCCCAGCCTGGCCTACGCGTCGGGACCGGGGGCCTTTCTGCGGTGAGGCGCAGGGAGGGAGGAGGGGAAGGAGGGGGGTGGAGGGCGAGGGCGGCCGCCCGCCTCCGGGCTGACCAGCGCCTGTCTCCCGCAGTGTTCCGGAACCAGCTGCCGCGGCGAACGACACGTACCCCGAGGAGCCGCCCCCGAGGGCCGCCCCCGGACCCGGCCCCCCGCCCCCGGGGCCGGCTGAGCGGCGCGCGCCGCCGCCTGCTGCCGCGTCTGCGGCTGCCCCGGGCCGCGCTGCTGCGGCCGCTGCCGCCGCGCCGCCTACTGCGGACCCGAGCACCAGGCGCTGGACTGGCGCCGCGGGCATCGCCGCTCCTGCGGGCAGCACCCGGCCGGAGGTGGGTCCGGGGCAGCGGAGACCTCCGAGGCGGGGGAAACCACGTGCTGCTGGATGGTTAAATGCTGGAGATGTGCTTGATGCGCTCGTGGAAACTTTGGCTACTCACAGCATGCCATAGAAAAGTATGAGAAGTGTTATGGCCATCAGGGCACCTGATGCACGCTTCAATTGTCTGGGTGTGCTAGTTAGAAGGAGATGTGCACCGAGCTGCCAAGCTGCAGGTTTTGAGTTTTAAAAATGCACCGAGCTGTGAAACTGCGGGGTTTGGGGTTGTAAAATGCTGCTGCTAGCACTGTTTAGTCTGCCTTCCACATCACTTAGGTTTACAGTATGTTCAAAACAACATACCTGTTGTAGTTTTCCACTGTCCCTAATATAGTGTGTTTCTTACCTTCTAGTCACATCTAGCAGTGATGTAAATCGTTCTTGCTCATACCATGTTTGTACTGTATTGTTGCTACGTAGTTTGCTGTGTGGCTTTTGGGGGGAAGGACGTGAAATACGAGATGACGTTGTGAAGTGGTACCCGTTTTCTGTTTTGTAGATGACTCGGTGGATGCAATTCCAGAGCATAATGAATTCCTTTTTCCAGAATATGAAATTTTGATAGAACCTGAGGAACCAGAATTTCCTGATGACAGCACTATAGATCCTGGTGATGAACAAGTAGCTGCAGAGACATCAAAGGACCTGAAAGAACAAGAGGAACTTGGAGCTACAGGCAGTGCAGGTCAGAAATAAGATGCTGCCTGTAATTCTTCACAATGAAGCCTGTATCACATCTTTAAAATATAAAATACTGTGATTTTTAAGTGTTCATTGTAAACTACTGGTGAAAAAGGACTAATTCTACACTCATTTATGATGCAAGTTTGTTGTAGATGTTCTGTAATATAAGTTGCTTTTATGGGAGAGACTTACTAAGCTCTGACCCCAGAAGCTGTTAAAGCAGCTGTTGCTGCAGGTAGCTTGTAGTTACACTGTGTCCCTGCATACTTCCAATAGGTAAGGAACAACTCAAGTGAGAAGGACAGGACCTTGAGCTGCTGGATGCTGTTGGAATTGGGAGATTAAATTAGACTGTCTTGGCTTGACTTGGTTCCATTTGTCTTAATTTATAGAAAATACTTAAAATCTCCTTGTCTGTGCTAGGAAAAAAAATGTTTTGAGGCTATTTTAATTGACCTTGAATTAAGCAATTGAAGTGCAGGCCCCTTCTTCCCTGCTCCCCCCAAATTCATGATGTGTTTGCAGCAACTTAGCTTTGCAACACTAGCTTTGAACACATCCAGGGTGGAGAGTTTGTGGTAGTGCAGGGGAAGGATGCTGGGTTACCAGCTGTGCCTTGCTGTGGTCCAAAGCTGTCTCAAGACTGTTTAGCGCCCTGACTTGATGTGAATGTTGTTGTGTGACAGATACACTGCTCAGTACTAGAAACTGAAGTCTGGCACATGCACGGCACTGTTGCACTTTTTTCAGATGTCATACCCTGAAGGTTCTGCAGTCTCAGTGATACCCACTGGGAGCCATAAACTGCAATCAATTAACTCCTTCCCTTTTCCAATGTTCCAGTACTGACATCTATGTTTAAAATGCATCTAAAACTAGTAAATGAACCTGTGTGTGACCAAATTTTAACATGCCACAAAAAGAAAGAAATCTTTGAGTGATTTATGCAACCAATGATTTGTGAAGCAAAATGCATTTACAGGTGCTAATATAGTTTTTAATTTTTTACTGTCTTGTATTAGCTCATAACTTTTGTTGTTCTTTTTTCTTGTTTAGGTGAAGCACTTCAGTCCTTAGATGAAGAGACACTGGAAGCATTGGCAAAACGTGAGACTGAAGAAGACAAGATCTTCCAAATGTTTAAAGAAAAAGTAGCTGCTGAACCAGAGCAGGTGAGATGGGGTGGCCTTAGAACTTTGTGGTTCTGGCACAGCATCCTGCTGCCCCTGCAACGTTTCACTGCCTTTTGTACCTAGTTAGAAATGAGGATGCCTCCTTACCCTCCACACACCTAACCAACACACCCTCATTCCTTATGTGCACAACATAAGTCATGCTGAAGTAAGAATTCAGCACCTGCTCATCTATCTTAAACAGAAGTTGGTCAGGATGAGATGGCACAGGGGTGCTGAACCCCCCAGAGCGTGGGAAGACCTGCCATCCTGTGACCTGCCATCCTTTCGTTCTAACCAAAGGACATAGTGAACACTGCATTATTCCCTAGCCTGTGGCCCTGTTGGCTTTCCTTCTCAGCAGAAAGAAAACTCCAGAGAAGAGCTCTATCATTGTCACCAACTGCACTGGGAGGTGGTTTGGTTATTTTAAGGTTGAAGAAATTAGTGATGGCTTTAAAATTTTTACTATTTCAAACAGAAATTCCCCCCTCATACTATTTCTTGCTATTACAAGAGGCTGAGTCACATTGTCAAACAAAAGCATGGTCCCTGGTTCCATTGAGAGGAAACACAGGCCTAAATCCATGAAAGTGGTGAAGGAAGAAGAAATTCTCTCAATTTTTTGCCTGGTACCCGAGGGGTTAAGGTACATATACAAAAAGTAGGAGACTTGAGTGTCTCCTTCTCTGCTTTAGGTATGTGCATCACCTCTCTCTGATCATCCCTGTACTGACTGATCTGCCCAATGTCCTCTTGTTGATAATGCCTGATTTGCTATGAACAGAAAAACTAAGGATATGTCTGAAAATGCCTCCTTCTTGGGCATTAGGACAATCCAGTTGCATTTAGATGCAGTAATGCATAACAAGAAGAGCTGGGTTGCATTCCTGACTTTGTGTGCAGTTCTGTGTGCTAATTATCAAGCTGCTCTTTCCCCATCTCAAGACTGTAACATACATTTCTGGGTCCCTTAATTAGGGAAATGCAAATAATTGGAATTTATCATTGCAATTTATCCCTGGATCATTGAAAAAGTGTTGCATAGTTAAGAAAATGCATATAAAACAACCCATCTTATTTTGAATACCATGTTTGCAAATGATATTTTGCCATGGTTATTACTTAAAGGATCTGACCTTATTCTGCGCCGTCTACAGCTTTGTCTAGCTGTAAATACCAATTTTATACCAAAACCAAAAGATAGTAATGAGAACTTAAACTTCTGCTCTATTTCAGATTATTAGATACTGCAGAGGAGGAGAAGGCCCAATCTGGGTGTCAGGTGAAAACAGGCCTGAAGAAAAAGATATCCCAAATTGTTTATGTGGTGCCAAAAGGATTTTTGAATTCCAGGTATGTAAACTCATTTAAAAATAATACAGGTAATGTATTTCAGACTTAACAGGATCTGATTGTACAGGTGTTGGCTTGTAGTCAGAGCAAGAAAGTTGAAGTTGCTACATACTAACTATGCTAAATGATTGCACAGAGCCTTTATTTACTATTGTAACTGCTTTTTCCACCAGATAATTTGCACTATACATAAAATGGTGCTCTTGTGAATATGGAACCGTCTCTTAAGTAACAGGAGTCCAGTGTGATATATTTCAAAAAATTCACAATGTGAATTGTAAATATGTCTGGCTGGAAGTATTCAGCTGTGAAATTCCAAATGGAGTGAGGCTCAGAATTGGGGCAAGGCTTATAAGGTCAAATAAAACTTCTATAGATAAGTAGGGCCATGCCTTTGATTCTCTAGGCATCTACTACACTGCTTTGGGAATTTCAAATTTATTTTATTTGAGCTGGTGCATGCAGTCGCTTCAACTGGGATTTGGTGTAAGAGGATATAAATTCTCTTACACCAAATGCAGGATCCTTCTTCAGAAAGAGAAGCAGGGAGAACGGAGAAAGCTATGGCCTGCCTCTAAACCTTTTGGTTTTCTTTGAAGATTATGCCACAGCTCCTGAACTACCTTCAAGTTGACAGCCTTGGAGAGAGCATTGACTGGGGAACACTGGTGGTGTACACTTGTGCTAACAACTGCGGTGGGGCACACGAATACCTGGAAGAGTTCATATGGAAACAAGACTATTCCGTGGGCCATGTTTTACCAAGTTGAGTCATCTAAATGGAATACTTGCTTTATTTCATTGCATCTCTGCACTATGTAAACAGGTAGTTGAACTAGAAGTCACTGTTAACAGCAGATCTTGTAACAGGGATAAAACTGCTATAACTAGACCTCGACAGCCTCTCTCTTGTGCTCCGGGGAAGCTTTTACTTCAACCTGGTAATGAAGCCAGATGTGTTTGTTCTGTGAGTTTCATTTCAAATCTCATTTCTCAATGTTTAAATAAAGATGAAAAGCTTTGGATTGGTGAAATTATCTTTTGTTGGTGATAGAACTTCAAAAACCTAAAGACTGGTGTTTGTCAGGACTTTGTGCTACTCAAAAATTAACATTCATTCAGAGAAAAGCAGACTACTGTAAACTCATTTGAGTGCTTATGCTGTACAGGAGTCATAGCTACGACAAAGCTCCATAGCTTTTTGATGTGGAACTTTAAGTCCACTTCTCTTTCTGAACAGGTGCACTCAGTCTAATTTGGCAGTTCTTACATGTTCTGATTGAGTGGTTTGTGGAGATAAAATGCACAAAATTAAGTGTTTTATCTGACTTAAACTATTTCTGCATGGGGCTAATAGTTTTAACACAGTTATCTGGTGCAGAAGCAGTTTTAATAAAGTGAGCCATACCAGAACACATTTGTCTTGTTACATACTGCCTGTAGCAGCAGATTTTCAAGCTGAATTGTACCTTAAGTCTGCCAGCTTTGGTAAAGTTTAAAAATAAGTGCCCTCTGCAGGGATCCTTCTGCTATTTGACAGCCTTATAGCTGAGGCAAGAGAAAAGTGAAGCCATAATGCTGAGGTTACTGTGGTAGCTGCTTAACTACTACTGTGGTTATAGCTACATTTGCAGAAAATGCTTTTTTTGTTTGTCAGTATAGAACAGACTTCAGTTACATACTCCCTTATCCTGCTCCAACCATTCATGGCTGCTTACCAGTGACTCTGAACGTGATTTTATCAAAGTCCTAGGCTCACTGTGGCGTTTTTGAAATCATTTAGATGTTGAAAATACTCAAGTGAGCAGGCAGAGAATGCTGTACCTGTAAGTGGTTTTGTTGATGCAGGACTTAATTTCTAGAAAGGTAGTTTTAAGCCTTGGTACTTGTCACAAAACAGCAAACAGCATCTTAAGTCACTGTAGTACAGCTCAACTGATTTTACTGAAAACCGTCCCACAGTTACTTAGGGCTCCGGGCCTTCCTAAAGAGTTGAAGAGTTTTTCAGGTAAGTTGGTAATAGTTCAGGGTCCTGCAAAAGCAGGGACAGTCCTACAATTATAGTTAAGAGCTCTCAAAGTGGTGTGGCACTAAAGGCAGTGTTTGAGTATCACGAACTTATCCTGGCACAGCTACATTATTAGACAGCATCTTTCTGATAAGAATCGTGAAGTGAATTAATAAACAACTAGTGAAACACCGGTGTAGAGAGAAGGCTGAAGATTAACGTCACTCAGGATTTGCAAATGGAGTGATATCAAAGCTAGTCAAAACTTCATTTAGTCTGGAATGAAACACCAACTTAGTAAAGAGACCATGGTTTACATTTGGGTTAGTTTTAAATAAAAATTGTTTGGAATAATGTGCAAGTCAGAGAGAGTTTACTATTAGTGAAAATTTACTGAAGAAAAAAAGTTTATTTTTAGTTTTCAGCCCGTTAAACTTCAAGTGTGGTTCAGAAGGAAGATTATGTACATACTGACTAGTCAGAAGGGCTTTGACATTTTACAGGAACACTAATATAGTGAGACTGTCATAGCTGGTAAAATACAAAAGTAGTAATTTAAAGAAATTCTAGGAGCTAAGCAGGGGTCTTTTGTTCCAATTCAGTCAAGTGTAGCTATTTAAGACTTGCCTAAATCCCATTTGTTGAACATAAGGCAACACATATTTGAACACAAACTTCTTTAACCAGTCATCTCTTTTGTTTTAACATAATGGAAGTATTCAAGGTAGATGTTTCCAAGGATGTGACTGCTGGTAAGTAAGCCAGAACATTGGTAAGATTCTCTTAAAATGACAAGTCACTTACAGTAGTGCATGTGCTATTAAAAAATCCAAATTAAATTAAAAAAAAAAAAAAATCAATGTATTTCACTCTACCAGCTGGGTAATTTTAAAATTTATTAAGACAGTTCCCATAGTTGTATAAACAGGGTTTATTGTACATGTGGAGTTGAAGAAAGAAAGAGAAGAAAGGTATATATTATATATATATGTACAGTGAGCCATTTTCATTAATAAATTTATCCTATCTTGCTTAATACTGGAAAGAGGAAATGTGACTGGCACCAAAGAAATTTAAAGTTGAAAAAATTTAAAAGCTCAAGTTCTGAAAATTATAAAACCATGGTCTTATGGAAGGAACTTAAAACATATATACATGGCAATTTAAGTGGTTTATACACTGAGTGACACAGTTGCATTTGTCTTTAAACCAACTTACAGATTTCCTATTAATAGAACTGGCATTAAAACTATTCAAAAGCTAGGATATAAATAAAAATTGGAGGGACTGCTCTAGGAACAGCCCAGTAAAGCAACTCACAGTAACTCAGTAGACATATTCAAGAATACAGTTCCCCTTGACCATCAGGGAAGTAGGCACTAACTGGGAAATAGTCCAAGTCCTGGTGTTGCAGTTGCACTGGAAGTCCGTCTCTTGTTACTGCTGTGCCATACACAATACCTTTTAAAATAGACCCCTGATTTCTCTGAAACATGTAGAAACTATTACGTTGTCTTTCTGAATCCCTTTAAAATAGGATAGATGTTTTCAAATGCTTCATAGATTTCTGCTCGTACTTTAGCACCTGAAAAATGATAGGGAATTAAGTTAGTTTGTACCTTTCACCTAATACTCTGTTTTAGCTTTTAGAATGTTTATTTTAATATGGCTGTATATAAAACCTTTGCATATCCATAAATCCTTATTTTTACAATCTTTTTTAAAACATATTTCATAGAGAGCATACATTACCAGCCTTCTGTTTATTTTGTCAAGAGTTACAACCTTCATTAGCATCTCTGTGCAGATGCTATACTTGCAAATGGGATTATCCTATAGATAATTTCCACAGAAGACCCAAATACAAAGCACAGCCCTGCAGGATGTTTCTGCAGAAAGGCCTAACTGATGGAGATTTTCTGAGTGTGAACATCTGTGGGAGGAAGGTCTGGCAGTGGAGACTGCTGCAGAGGCCTGCCCATTCCCCACACTGCAGGGACATGATTCTTTTGTCTGCCTGTCTTGTGGTTTTTTCTCCATAGCGAGACACAGTATGAAGGGAAAAGGAAGGGTGTAGGTGGAGTGCCTGAGGTTGAAGAGGTCCTAGATCTCCCCTTCTTTGTCTGCCGTATCATGGGAGAATGGCAGCATCCTGCAGCCAACCTGCCAAAGAACAGCTGGCTCAGTCACACATACTCAGCCCACAAAAACAGTCTTTCAGATTTTGCCAGAAAGATCACCTGCAGTCTTACAGCTTTTTGGGCACCTGCATACTACATTAAGATTCATGATCATTGTTCAAATGGATCTAGCCAAAGGTGGTGTTGCTTCATGCATTCTCATCTGTTAAAGAATACACATAATGCAGGTAACACATAGTGCAGGTAGCTCAGTATGCAGCTGCAGTGCTGAGCTGCAGGTTGGGATGCAGATTGAGCTGTGTGCGGCAGGACCCCCAGGCAAGAGGCCCCGTGAACTGCCGACCATTTGGGGTCCCTCCTCGGAGGCCCCCAGCTCGAGCTGTTATTTTGTTATTGCACCAAGATTAGACTGTACTGTGGGAAACCTGGGGTGGAGCTGGTAAGGAAACCTTGTCTGACTGTGTGAGTGTGGTGTGTGTAGGAAGTCAAGTGGGGCACCTGTCGGCTCACTGGAGACGATCTGCTGCAAACAGGCTTTGGTCCTGGTGCAGGTGGTGCTGGTGTGACTGCCAGAGTGGCTCCTGGATGGTTGGACAGGGAAGTTTCCTTAACAACATCATCCACAGAACATTCTATTAACTCTTCTTTCTCAGTACTGTCATCTCTAAAGGAAAGTACCTGGCAGCTTATGTATCCCTGTGTGTTCTCTGTAATACAGTCTAAATCTCACCTACTGGAGTAAGATACTGTCTTGACCTACCAGTTAAAACCACTTTTCCAGAAACAAAAATAAGCAGTACAATTCTTGGCTTGATCATTCTGTAGATTAATCCAGGAAACAATTCCGGCTCGTAGCTGTAAGAGAAGAGAGTGACAGTGTTTAAACTTATAAGCCTGTAAACACATGTTCCACTCTACCTTCTGCAGGAGCGGGCAGAGCAGATGTAGACTTCACTGAAACTTGGAGAGGGTAGTAGGGAAGATCATTTTGATGGTTTCATAATGGGCAGCCTCAGCTGCACCTAAGGCAGTGCAGAGATGGGAACAGTGCAAGGAAATAATCTAAACAGATGTCACTCTCTAAGCTAGCTAGTACACAACAGGAATGAAACACAAGCAAGCTTTTTTTTACCTGCTGAACTGCTGGTGTGTGAGTACCAATCCTTCCAGTCTGATGGGAAATTTCACATCGCAGCTGCCCACCATGTTCTGAATTTTAAAATCCAAAAATTTTGCTGGAAAGCCCAGTTTCTGAACAACTCTTGCATACTTCCTTGCTGCCAGTCTGGATTGCTCCTCACTGAAGTGAGAAAAGGATATCTCTATTATTGCCTCAGTTTTATATTACTTGAAGCAAACAGCATTAAACCACAAATATCTAGCTGGGAGAAAAATGGCTGTGTGGAGGAAAAGGGAAGGTCACATGCAAAATTTTGGTATCTAAAATGAACAAGTAGCACTGGTTTTCATGCTAATTTTGGTAGTAATATCCTGGACACCACTAGTGTTGCACTCACTGTTTATGAGGCACAAAACAGTAAATTATAAATCCATATATTTCACGCTTTTAAAATATTGACCAGAATCCCTCTAATGGGACATGAAAACTGTTATGTAAGTTATCACCATAGAACAACTTTGAACTACTACTGCTAGAAATACATGTTTCTATAAAAATCTCTCAGCTGCCAAAATCCTCTGCTTGATTGAGCCCAGGAATTCGAATAGGTTTAACACAACTGCACAGCCTTACATGGTGTTACAGAATTCAGTTTGTTTCAGTTTTGTAAACAGCTGTGGATCTGGTTGTTCCTGATGCAGAGTAGGACAACTTGAACTTCAAGTGTCACCAGGCAGAGAAAATGTTTCCCTG